TTGTGCTAGCAATATGTTTCATAAATTTCCTCCATGTACTGTCGTAAGCGTAGATTGATACATTTGGATGACATGCTTTAGCAAAATCAACTAGCTCTTGTGTTGACATTCTTGGAAAACTAGCTGATGCATAAACTTCTTTTCGTCACTTAATTTTTGGTACGTATATTTCTGGAATCCCTTCTTATTCCTACAGTTGTACCAAACAAAATCAACCATACAGGTATTTTCACCTTGTTGTATAATCTGAAGAAACTGCTTGTGTAAGAAGAATGTGTTTAATTTTAGCGCACCAACTTTGTGATCTTTAAAGAACTGCTCATTATGTGTAGTTATAGTAGCTCCAATTTCAGCTATAGTTTCTGTCAATAAAACTGTAAAGTTGTTTTGGAGTAGCGTATACATTAAGAATTTGTACATATCTGATTTGTCCAATTTTGGAACTTCCATTTTAAATGGCCCATATGTCTTATCAGTGTACTCAGTTCTATTGCCGATGGTATGTTCAATAACAGCGTTTATCGTAATTTGTGCCCGTTCTCGTTTACCAGGCATCTGTTCTAGTCTTTCGTGGAACAAATTTGGAAATGATGAATGTTGTGTTTACTTTGATACTCTAGCTCGCCCTAATTCCTCATCTCTCATATCTTGCAGCGAAACAGGTTTTTTATGTAATCTAATAGTAGGAGCTTGTTTATAGGACAGTTCCTCAAAATACTTGATTCGGTCCTTAACTAATGCCCGTGCTGCTAATTGTGTAAGAGATGGCATTTTGCTTGGCTGTTTGGCCGGTCGCTTTATTGATTGTTCCATTTTTTCGGCGGCCAACTGTGTAAGCGATTTTGGATTAAAGACTGGTCCTACCTTTTTGGCGCTCGCAGTCTGATTAACCGGTCCTGCCCTTTTGGCGCTCGCGGTTTGTTTTCCCATTAACATATTTATTAATTCGCCCTTAGACAATTTCGATAGATCTTCTCTATTCATACTATTAGTGTAGATAATTTTATTTGCAACGATTGGTTTTGTCCAATTAATTAGCAAAAAATAACCAGTCTGAACCACCCCAAACCGGTTCAGAAATGCTGACATCAGCAAGAATCCCAAAATCTGTACTGGGTGTGAAAAACGGGTACCACAGCCATCGTAGTACCGAGCGACCGACCGTCCGTCCGCACCACAAGCATACCAATGTTTACTCTCACACTTTGAAGCTACTTTGGGAGCCCAGGAGAAAGCTGATTGCACATCAATGTTGTCATCAATTGACAGTTTTCAAAACAGGGTATCCGCTGACCAGTATCACCTGACCGTATCGCGGGGTTAGGTGTCGACCCATCAAGGTCGAGTATTTTTGAAGTTATCTGCTGACAATTTACTCGTTTTCAAATAATCGCAGGCTCACGTTTACGTTTTTTAAAATTCCTATCAAATATGTTGTGTTTATGTCAGTATCGCCCCGCACTATTACGATTGTGATTTCAAACTGACCTCAGACCCAAAAATTTAGCAAGTTTTTTTAAAGTACAGGCGGGGAAAACCTTTCCTTACCATGGTCACGGGTTGGTCACGCTCCACGTCCAATTTTTATGCTCTGATTGGTTAAAATTTGACAGGTGAGTTCATGCGTAAAATTTATGCAGCATCTTGAAAGTTGTTTACTTTGACAGCTGAAGCTGACAAAGTTTTGAGTCAACTTGTAATGTTTTTAACTGTCTTTTTCCACTGGATGTACAAAATGAAATACAGCTGCTATCAAGAGTGTTCTCTTATTCATGGCTGGTTTGTTTATCAGGTTTTTGGTTGAGAAATGCGTCGCTTGTCAAAGCCGATAATCCGATTTCGAATGATATCGTTTTTGTTTTTGACCTTGCTGGATGCGTACGAGAATTATAAAGGCTCAAGCGATCCTTGCCTTAAAACTATCGAAAGTCCTCGACGTAGAGCTTTATACCATTCGGACTCATTAATAACATAAATATAGATTAAAGTACTTCACCAGCGGCGCAGTTTATGAAGCTAGTTTATGCACGTTTGTATTAAGATTTGATTGAGACACTGATCTGACCTAGTATGAGGTTTGATATGAGCTTAAGCTTACAGAACTTTAAAAAGCCTTTAGTCGATATTAATTCACCGTAAATAGAAGGAAAAGACTTTCCGAAAAATATTTAGTTATAAGTTTGGCTGCAGAAAGAAAGCTTTGAGCGATTTTCTTGTCGTGAGTTCATCTTTGTAAACAGCAAACACCGGGAAACCGGCGACTTAAAACATAAACTGAATCTTTAAGCTTACTAGTAAAGATTTGAAGATTCTTAGAGACACTTAAATACTCATTTGTTTTCGTGATTGAAAATTGTTGTCTCTGTAAATGTTCTACTGAATTATATTTCTTTATTGATATTTGGTAGTCTCAAAAGTGTAATTTTCATCGCTTTGCCGTTTGTTTTCAGCCGTTCATAAACATCGCTTGCAGGAGTACTCAAAATGCTGAGCGTATCAAACGCTTTTTAAGATTACACATCGTTATAAAACCATTAATAAAAAATGGACTCAATATTTTCTTTATCAAGTTCAAGCGTAACTCTTTTAAAATTTCTTCGCAAATTTGGCGCTTGTCAAAAGTTAGAACCGGCTGGCCGTATGGGTGATTTTGGAAATGTTTTGAACGGTTTCGCTAATTAACAGTCCACGCGTGCTTCGATGGTCCTGAATATTGAATGAATGCAATTTGTCTTGAAAAATTGTGAAATACTGCATTTTGGTCCTTAAGCCGAGCAGTCGTTGAAAACCTTGCTAAGAGTAGCAGAAATTAGAAACCATTAAGCAATCGTAGAAATTGTGAAGTCTTTAAGCGAAGAAGAGGTCCTGCTCATTCATTACCACCGAAAGTGTCGAAGCGTTTTCATAATGAAAATGTTATTAGATAAATTAACACAGTAATCATCTAACAGCCAGACTCACCAGGTACAGGTGGCTAGGAGAGTCTTCATTCGAGCATCTTCCAATACTTCCACAACATACGAGCGTTTTGAATTTTTTGTGAAAAGCCCAAATATTTCAAAGGTACAAGGAGCCTGGAGCCCGTGAGCCTTTAGTACAATGCCGAGATATGCGTGCAGATAGCTCTATCAGAAAGATAGCTTCCCAAAAGGATGATAGGAAGGAGGGTCTGGATAGGGTTAACTGACAACTGGCAAATGGCCAAAATTTTAACCCCCGGACGTACAAGGTGGGGGGGGGGGTGGGGTGGATGCCACACCCCCTGTAAGGTTTTTCCTAGCGGATAAAACATCAGTACCTGACCTGTTCGTTCATCCCTCGCACACATCTTGAGAGAAGTTCAGTGATGGTCAGTTGCTATGGTTACGAGATATGACGTCATAAGTAGCAGGTGGTCAAGCCATTTTTGGGTGAGAATACATGTTTTTGTTTTAACTTCTTTCACAATAAAAGTAAATGTTGTGGCTAAAATCGTGCCAAATGCTTATCAATTTGGTATTTTTCATGTAAAGCACAAGAAAGTACTATTTCTGGCGGTTTTAACCTGATTTCAAATTCTTGTTAAAATCTAAGATGGCGGCCAAGATGGCGACCATTCTTGCTGCATCCAGTAGCGCCACCACCCTTAAGATATACCTCATCTTGATAAGAAGGTCAAAGGCTTTCTACTAAAGGTAAAATCGTTTCGAAATACTGCAACATGTCAAGAACCCCAGGAAAGGGTTCCACTACCCCCCTCTCTTGTACCATGGTGGGGGTATGACTTTGCGTGTAGGTCCGAGGGTTAACTGACAACTGACAAATAGCCTAAATTTAAACAGACAACTGACATTTGCCTTGGGTTTTACTGACAACTGACAAAGGACCTGATTGTACCTCATTTTCCACTAAACCCGCTTTTAAGACCTTAAGACAGACAATGTGATCAAATGTGCGTGTTGGGGGTATTAATTTTAATCTTAGCACCAAGACGCTTACGTGTCATATTTCGTTAATAATTTACTGTAAAACCCGTATGTGTCATGTACCATCTGTTGTAAACGACTTAAGATCTCAAATTTACGTTTCTCTGAGAACGCGCCAGGTCCTCCAGAATACGATGGCTGCTAATGAGGTGTTATAAAATTAACTGAAAGTTTTTACCTAGATTCGCTCTAAGGCGACCTTTTTAGGCCTTCGCGGCCGATCGAGCGACGAAGTCGCGAGAGGTTTTCGTCCCGCGCCAAATGAAATCAAACGAAGGAGTCTAGTTTTTACCAAGATGATTCACATACGGTCTTTCTTACAATCTACGTCCCAATAAAATGAATATTCTGAAGATATAAATTTTGATTGGCTCAATGGTTCGAAATGCTGGACTCTGGCCAGAAAAAACAATCGAGTGGAGGAGAGTAACACTTGAAATGCTTACAATATCAACACCGATGAAAAACAAGGTACTATTGCATAGATTTTTGGAATTCAGTGTTTAATTTACATCATGTCTGCCTTTTAAGCTACATTTCGCATCAAGTATATGCAAATACGTTTCATAGTTAACAATTAATAATCATTCAACATTATAGAAAGCTGAGTGACGTCACTTCATCACGTAAAAAACCCCATAAAACTACTCATTTGACTCGGCTTTGGTACTATGTCGTCAAATTTTGGGTCCTGGCCAATGGAACATCCTCATCGTCAGCGTTATCCGAATCCTAATCCTCATTCTCGTCGACAGCCACGTCCACATCCTCATCCTCAGTCTAATCCTTATCCTCATCCTTATGCTCATCCTCATACTCAAGCAAATCCTCATCATTTTGATCATCAGCATACTTATTGCCATCGTCATCGTCTTCGTCACCCTCATCCACATCCTCATTCTCATTACCTTCTTTATCCTCAATTTCACCCACATCCTTATCCCCATCCACATACTCATCTGCATCTGCATTACCATCCTCATCCTCATCACCATCCTAATCTTTCTTTCCCCTCCTTACAATCACCCTCATGCTCGTCCTCGTCCGCATCCTCATCCTCGTCGCCAGCCTTGTCCTCATCCTCATCCCTGTCCCCATCCTCATCCTCATCCTCATCCTCATCCCCATCCTCACCCTCACCCTCATCCTCATCCTCATCCACATCCCCATCCCCATCCTCATCCTCATCCCTATCCCCATCCTCATCCTCATCCTCATCCCCATCTTCATCCTCATCCTCATCCCCATCCCCATCCTCATCCTCATCCTCATCCTCATCCCCATCCTCACACTCATCCTCATCCCTATCCTCATTCCCATCCCTATCCTCATCCTCATCCTCATCCCCATCCTCACACTCATCCTCATCCCTATCCTCATTCCCATCCCTATCCTCATCCCCATCCTTATCCTCATCCTCATCCCCATCCCCATCATCATCTTCATCCCCATCCTCATCCTCATCCTCACCCCCACCCTCATCCCCATCCACATACTCATCTTCATCTGCGTTACCATCCTCATCCTCATCACCATCCTAATCTTTCTTTGCCCTCCTTACAATCACCCTCATGCTCATCCTCGTCCGCATCCTCTTCTCGTCGCCATCCTTGTCCTCATCCTCATCCCTATCCCCATCCTCATCCTCATCGTTATCCTTATCCTTATCCTCATCCTCATCCTCATCCTCATAACGTACAATTTGGATACTAAAAAAATTTGGAATTGCTTAAAATCAATGGATGACTCTATAAAATACAAAGACACTCCACCAATTGCAGAAGAGGATGGGATGAATTATTTCCAGTGTCTGCATTCTAATAAGCCACTTACTTATGACCAACAGAACGTTGTTAATGAGTTAAGAACACGAGAAGACATCGTAATGCAATCACGACCTCTAGACTACTTCATAACAGAAGCTGAAATAAGCAAGGCAGCAAGAAAATTAAAGAATAACATACTCCCACAAAATAAGAAACGGAATGATTAAAGCTACAACCAGTTACAAAAATGATGAGACACTCCCACGGAAAAACGACCTTTCTTGCTTCAAATCGCTCCTGGTCACAGGTCTGTAAAATATAATACTGACCTCCCTCCTCCCTCCCATTCAAAGTTGTTCCTCCAAGTTTTGAGTATGGTCTTGTATTGCTAGCAACTTTGATAAGGGGTGGAGGGGGGATCACAAGCACAAGATCATGGACAGGCCATTTATGCCAAAATACGGTACAGTGTCTCAAGTACTTTTGCAACTGGTTGTCTCATTTAAGGTTTACTTCAACAAGCGATTTCCACGTCTTAAATTCCCAAAACGAAGACTATAGCGACATAAATAAATAGAATGACACTTTGTGTTGCTTTTCCCAGCCGATACATCATTGTCATTGATAGCAAACTGCCTAAAAAAGCGCTTAAGAATGTAGTGACTTGTAAATTTTGCCTCAGTTTTGTTGTTACGCATGCGCCATTATCTACCGTGACATAGCTTAAAGTTTCGGCGTTGTAATTAAACTCTGAGAAGCGCGAATGCATAATAACAGCATAATTTTCCTTTTCTTGGTATTTAGAGATACTATAGTTGCGAATAAAGCTGCCAAACCTTCATTTTCACCCCTATAGCTGTAACGCAAAGACATTTGATATGCAATGGCGTTATGTAATCGGTATACCGCGTGACTTATTTTTCAACATCGCTGTTAAAGTAAAACCGTTCAGTTTTTTTCATCTACTACGGTGAAAATAAGATGGTTATTAAAGTCCGTTAGAGCTAGAAAGCAGAAAAAGTTGTGTGCTATGTTAATTTCTATTTTCTGACGGTCTACCATCACCACGGTCTACCATTCTGCAACAGTAAGAAATAGAATATATTATTATATTTATCTCATATGATGGTAGACCGTGTAGACCGTGTAGACCGTTGAAGCACGTAAATTCCTGACATTGCTGTGCTGGAAAAGTGCTTTTCTTGGGGATAGTGTCTTCCTTTTTGCAAAGAAATAAATTTCCTTACCAAGTACAGAACTATAAAGCCACGTTATATGCGAGCTCTCGCGTCTATGTTACTGAAATACGCACGTGAATTTTCATTATCTGATGCCTATAGCCACACTCGGGCTTCAAAATCGAAACAAAGTTGTGAGACGACCAAAGAGTAAACACAAATCCAAACTTGTGTTAAGTAAAGTAAAGTCGCCAACAGCTGCTTTTTAGCGTAACTTTTCTTTCCTGTAAATGGCAGGCGATAAAAGAGGAACCACGTCCACGTACTTATCGGAAACAACACCAAAAAGCTATCTCCTTGATCTAGCGGGGCATCTTACGTCACTTTCCTTCCATAAATAAACATCTTTTAACCGAGTTCGAAGAAAATATATTATTTTTGGCATCTCTGTAGCGTTTTAGGACCAAAAACCCCTTTCATTGCAGCTTACTTAAGATGGTGTGGCATCTTTTGCCACGTGCTTCCTTTCAAAGCCCAATTTCTTGCATATTACCACATAAACAAGAGGGCCAACAACTGCCGTTTTTGTCTCGCCATTTTTAAACAGGCAAACCGACAAAAATGAAATACTGTTTTTTATAACCACCTCCTTAGGTGCTAAGAGTGCACCACGTTTTACCCCGTTTAATAATCGTGCACCACGGCTATAGGAGTATGAAGGACTCAGACAACCAGTTACAAAAATGATGAGACACTCCCACGGAAAAACGACCTTTCTTGCTTCAAATCGCTCCTGGTCACAGGTCTGTAAAATATAATACTGACCTCCCTCCTCCCTCCCATTCAAAGTTGTTCCTCCAAGTTTTGAGTATGGTCTTGTATTGCTAGCAACTTTGATAAGGGGTGGAGGGGGGATCACAAGCACAAGATCATGGACAGGCCATTTATGCCAAAATACGGTACAGTGTCTCAAGTACTTTTGCAACTGGTTGTAGCTTACCAACACTGCTACCTGTTTACCATAATACTGTTCTTAAGTCAGGAACAGTGCCTGAAAATTGGTGCAACGGTCTTATAACTCCCATATTTAAATCTGGCGTAAGAAATGACCCATCAAATTACCGCGGGATTTGTGTTTCTAGTTGCCTATGAAAGTTGTTCTTTTCAATTTTAAAGACTCCTTGAACACGTCACTTCGCTGAACATACTCCAAAAGTCTTAAATCGGCTTCTTACCGAAAAATCGAACATCAGACCACCTCCTAGCATCACGAACTCTTATAGACAGGTACGTACACTGTCACGGTGAAAAAGGTCACGGTGAGACAATGATCTGACCGAGTATCAGGTTTGATTATAAGCTTATAGAACTTTAAAAAGCCTTTAGACATTTTCTCACTGCAAATAGAAAGAAGACGTTCCAAAGAATATTTAGTTATAATTTTGGCTGTAAAAGAAAGCTTTGGGTGATTTTCTTGCCTCGAGTTCATCTTTGAAAAAAGAAAACACCGGGAAGCCGGCTTAAATCAAGAGCCATTATGGCTCTTAATTGTGATCGAAGATGATTGCTATTTTTTGGGTGTACATATGAGGCTATCAACTCTATGTAAGATTAAGTTCATTCTTAGATGGACTGTTTGCAAAATATTTTTCTCTAAAATCACGTAGCCTTTCCCTCAAAAGTCACATGAATGTGCTCTAAAGTTAACTGATTTGTGGAGTATAAGTTTATTGTTTGATTTAAATTATAAATTCGAGTTAATAGGAGCTTCGCTTTTAGCCCTGGCTAAAGCTATAATATATTACGTTAATGACTTACCGTCCCCATTTCAAAATACTTTATCAGACCCTATCATCCTTCCAAATGGTACCAAATTAAATTCGTATTTATATGCTGATGATTTAATTATTATATCACGATCTAAAATAGGATTACAGTACTGTCTCAACACCGACTATCCTCTTTTTTCAACCCTTGGATGTTAGATATAAATTCCAAAAAGACCAAAGTTATGATCTTTCAAAAACAAGCGAAGAAAAACTCCAATCTAGAATTCCATGTAGGCAAAGAAGCCATTGATATTGTCCATGAATATACATATTTAGGAACCCGTATCTCCTCAACCGGTAATTTTAATATCTCACTTGAACACTTGAAAGAGAAGGCTCTTCATGCTCTTTTTAGTTTAAGAAAAAACACAAACTTTAGCAAATTAAAACCTTCTCTTGCTTGCAAAATATCTGAAGCGATTATTTCCCCAATATTATCATATAATAGCGAAATTTGTGGTGTACATGTAAAACATGATTTTAAAGCTTGGAACAATACCCCAACTGAAAAAACCCACTTGAAATTTCGCAAGCGTTACCTAGAAATAAGCAATAAAGCTTCAACTATTGCAAGTAGAAGTGAATTAGGACGATTCTCATTAATTATTAATATTTACAAAAACATCCTTTATTACGTATTATATCCTCTGCTTACTATTGCTATCTTACTATTGTTAAACAAGCCTTTCGTACCTCACTAGAACTTCACTGTAAAAATAGCTTTTACCATAGTCTTATGAAAATATCTGAATATTATGACCTGCCCGATTTTGATCCTAATAATTTGAGTGAAGCTAAGATCAAATGCTATATAGATATAATAAGACAAAAATATATTACATATTGTCAACATACAATCTATGATTCTAAGAAACTGCAATTTTACAGCTTATTTAAACATGACTATAAAATTTCAAGCTATCTAGACTTCATGAGAAATTCAACCAATAGGGAAGACTTAGTGAAAATTTGTATAAGTAACCACAAACTCATGATTGAAACTGGAAGGTATAATCAAACTTCCCGCAACGATATATTCTGCCCTATTTGTAACTCTGTTATAATTGAAGCTAGATGAATTTAATTTTCTCTTCCATTGTCCAAAATATTCAATCCCAAGGGAGAAATTCTAAAATCAAAATCCAACAAACTTTTGTCGAATTAATAATTAAATTGATGAATTCACAGAATTTTCCATAAATTCACATTTGTTGAAATTTGTCTCATTATGTATTGATTTACGTACTAATTTGTTATCAAATCATGTTAGTGACAATTGATTGACTGTGGTAATCATTGCATTGCATTATCATTGTTATAAATTGTAACTTTATGTTAAAGCTTTTGCAATACTGTAACTACATAATTATAGTCATGCAAATAAAGCTTATGTTGTTGCTGTTGTCATCCCATCTTTATCCTCATCCTTACCCTCATCCTCATCCTCATCCCCATCCCCATCCCCATCCTTATCCTCATCCTCATCCCCAACCATCCTCATTCTCATCCTCATCCCTATCCTCATCCCCATCCTTATCCTCATCCTCATCCCCATCCCCATCTCCATCCTTATCCTCATCCTCATCCTCATCCTCATCCCCATCCCCATTCCCATCCTTATCCTCATCCTCATCCTCATTCTCATCCTCATCCCCATCCCCATCCCCATCCTTATCCTCATCCTCATCCCCAACCATCCTCATTCTCATCCTCATCCCTATCCTCATCCCCATCCTTATCCTCATCCTCATCCCCATCCCCATCTCCATCCTTATCCTCATCCTCATCCTCATCCTCATCCCCATCCCCATTCCCATCCTTATCCTCATCCTCATCCTCATTCTCATCCTCATCCCCATCCCCATCCCCATTCCCATCCTTATCCTCATCCTCATCCTCATCCTCATCCTCATCCCCATCCCCATCCCCATCCTTATCCTCATCCTCATCCCCAACCATCCTCATTCTCATCCTCATCCCTATCCTCATCCCCATCCTTATCCTCATCCTCATCCCCATCCCCATTCCCATCCTTATCCTCATCCTCATCCTCATCCTCATCCCCATCCCCATTCCCATCCTTATCCTCATCCTCATCCTCATTCTCATCCTCATCCCTCATCCCTATCCTCATCCCCATCCTTATCCTCATCCTCATTCCCATCCCCATCTCCTTCCTTATCCTTATCCTCATCCTCATCCTCATCCTCATCCCCATCCTCATCCTCATCCTCATCCTCATCCTCATCCTCATCTTTATCATATACATTTCCCAAAAGTAATGATAGCAACATTTCAGGTTAAAACACCGTAATTTTCAATTACATTTTTGTCCTTAGTATTGTCAGGCCGTTTTTTACATGAGGAAACTTTCAAAGTTTGATTTTAAGTGACGCGACACGAGGAAACATCTCTTTTTCAAAAACGTAGTGTTCCGCACGTTTTTGCTTTTTGTTCCTTTAATTGCTTTAGGAACAACCTAGAAACGCACAATACAGGAACTTTATTTCCACAATAGGAACAAAGGTCGGCAAATTTCGGAACAATCTGGTCCGTTAGCAGCAAATTGGAACACAAAGTTCCTTTTCATTTTAGTCAAAAGGAACAACAGGTTCCTCTTTTATCCTTCTGGAACAAAAGGTCCTCTTTCAACTGTTCCGATTTCCCTTCATGTTCCTTTCGAAGCGATTGGGGAACAAAAGTTCTCAATCTAATTTCTCGCTCGACACAGTAAGGAACAAATTGTTCCTATTTACTGGCATATCCACTGCTGTTCGGAACGCCTTGTTCCCTTTCGGTTCAAATTGTTCCTATTCATGCCCAACAGGAACGGAATTGTTCCTAATCGAGGTGGTTTTTTGTTCCTCAAGATGAGTGTTATGTTCCGCGTATAAATGGGAACAGGTTTCGAATTTGTGACAAAGGAACTGGCGTTCCATTTTGCGTAAAGTGTAAAAAAGGAATAGGGAACAATAGTTCCTATTTATCGTAGGCTATCTGAAACTACTGTCCATCACCTCCGCTATAAAAATTTATCAAAACATATTTCCTTCAACAATTAAGTTAAGTACGAGACTTGCCCGCTACATCTTTAATCTCGTTCGGGCTTGCCCTCGCAAGTTCAAGTTTGTGTCTTTGTTCCCTTTGATTAATTGTGTACCAGATACGGACAAGAAAACAACGGGGCAAGGGCAAGAATGACCAAGTGTGGGCAGAGATGGGCTAACAATTACCTCATTGGCGAATAGGATGATCTCTTGGGGACCCTTTTGCTAGTATAAGTACATGCATACTTTACAAAGATATTGATTTCAAGCTAATGCTTAAGATGAACAAACGAGGCAAGGATGTCAACTGGTCAAAGTTAGCAAATGCATCGCCTAAACCAAAGAGACTTCACTTAGAAGAGGATGACTGTGATGGTCTTTTCTCACTGCCCAGTGCAAATTTGTAACCACGAGGGATTCACTACGCAAAGAGGTTGTAGAAAACACGTAAAGAACAAACACAGTTGGTACTATTACTTCGACGAGAAGCCAGACAGTGCTCAAATCGATACGCTTAATGTCGATAAAACCAGCAAATGTGAAGCCAGTGATCAGAAGATTACACCGCGTAAAAGCAGGGCAATTGCCTCTTTTGATCCTATAAACAAAATTGCCAAGAACTTTTTTCGTGGCTCACTGGCACTGGTGGAGGCTGTAAAAGTGATCGACAAGCACAACAGATCGTTAGCAAGTGCTTAAAGTTTCTCAAATTTTGTTGCGAGGACGAAGAGGAGGTCACATTTGACATTGTGGACTTTAGTTTATGTTCACCTAATCTCCTTTTTAAGTTTGTTGATACGATGCAGGATGATTGGAACCTCGGACACGCCGGGCGCATAGGCTACTTGGATGCCATTGCAGAATTGGTGGATTATCGAAAAGTGAATGGAGTATCGGAATCGGTATTGAGGGGGCTGACTTCAACAGAAATGTACTTGAAAAAGGTGCGCAAAACCGTTTCCAAAATGATGCGGTTGCAGTGGACCAGTGAGCTCGACATCGATGCCTTAGAAGCCAAGGGGCACTGGGCCACACTAGAAGAACTGTTGGAAGTCGTGGGTCGCTACCTGCCTCGCTACGAGAACGTGCTGAAATCATGCAAAGAGAAATCGGGTGCTGTTTTGCCAATAGATTTATCTTTTGCTACCAAATTTGTGGCCGTCTGTTTATTTATCAAGGTCAAGGGCTCGCGCCCCATGACATATCAGTACTTAACATTGGAAATGGTGAGCAAAGCCAAGACTAACGGTGGATTTGTAGACCAGAAAATTTTCAAAACGGCTGGCAAATATGGCTTCGATTCTCTTTACCTGACTGAGACGAGCATGCAAGTTTTGGATGGCTACATCAACCACATTCGCCCCCTACTCATACCGACCTGCGACTTTGTATTGGTCACAAGAAGTGGAGGGCAGCACCAAAAACTGGAAGGGCTAATGAGTAAACTGGTCTTTGATGCAACGGGAAAGTACGTTCACCCGACTCGCTATAGACAGACAGTGGAGACCGCGAGTTCCATCTCCGAGGACCAGAAACATAGCTCTGTTGTTGCAAGGGTTCACTATCAGAAGCAGCGATCGCGCGAGGTGACAAGTAAAGCACATGAATATTTGGAAAGACTGCATGGAGACAAAGGGTCAGAGCTTGAAATAGACGTGCGCTCGAGGCTTTCAGGCGATTCTGCGTCTTCTGAAGATCGAAATGGTAGCAAAACTGATAGTTCCTCAAACGACGAGAGAGAAACGATCGCAGAAACACCACCCAAGCGTCTTTCAGGTGTCCCGAGACTAAAGCGGGAAAATGCGTTTATAGTGTCGCGTTTCCCGGCGAGAAAAAAGAGTCTGATGTTCACCCTGAAGAAGACAATTATCTTAACCCTATTCAGACTGGGGCGGGGGGGGCGCTTTTCGAACCCCCCCTCCGGCAAAATCGTGATAACTCCTACACCGAAAGAGCTATGACGTTCAAATTTTTCTGACTTTTCCTAAAATTTATCTAGGAACATTTTGGTATAATTACCATGTCCATGTGATTAATCATGTTGCCATGGCAACCAGTTTCTGACATTACATCAAAATGTTTCAAGATCGAATATTTGGGGGGGGGGGAGGGGTGGGGTAAAATTTGTCACTTTTTTGCTTTGACAAATATGCCTCTCTATTTTCCAAATAACGCTTCCAAAGTCATTTGTTTGGGTAATAAACATTAGTTTGATACTTCTTTTATACATTCTGAGCTTTTTCCCCTTTGAAAGTTGCTTTAAATTATAATTTTAACAAAAAAACGGAAATCCAAGATGGCGGAACCTCCTTCTCCTCACCCCGATCCTTCTCCTCATCCCCCTCCCCTTTCCCACCCCTATCCTCACCCTCATCCTCCTCCTCATCCTCCTCCTCATCCCCATCCCCCTCCCCCTCCCCACCCTCCTCCTCCTCCTCATCCTCATCCTCATCCCCATCCCCATCCCCATCCTTATCCTCACCCTCATCCCCCACCATCCTCATTCTCATCCTCATCCCTATCCTCCTCCCCATCCTCATCCTCATCCTCATCCCCATCCCCATTCCCATCCTTATCCTCATCCTCATCCTCATCCTCATCCCCATCCCCATTCCCATCCTTATCCTCATCCTCATCCTCATTCTCATCCTCATCCCTCATCCCTATCCTCATCCCCATCCTTATCCTCATCCTCATTCCCATCCCCATCTCCTTCCTTATCCTTATCCTCATCCTCATCCTCATCCTCATCCCCATCCTCATCCTCATCCTCATCCTCATCCTCATCCTCATCTTTATCATATACATTTCCCAAAAGTAATGATAGCAACATTTCAGGTTAAAACACCGTAATTTTCAATTACATTTTTGTCCTTAGTATTGTCAGGCCGTTTTTTACATGAGGAAACTTTCAAAGTTTGATTTTAAGTGACGCGACACGAGGAAACATCTCTTTTTCAAAAACGTAGTGTTCCGCACGTTTTTGCTTTTTGTTCCTTTAATTGCTTTAGGAACAACCTAGAAACGCACAATACAGGAACTTTATTTCCACAATAGGAACAAAGGTCGGCAAATTTCGGAACAATCTGGTCCGTTAGCAGCAAATTGGAACACAAAGTTCCTTTTCATTTTAGTCAAAAGGAACAACAGGTTCCTCTTTTATCCTTCTGGAACAAAAGGTCCTCTTTCAACTGTTCCGATTTCCCTTCATGTTCCTTTCGAAGCGATTGGGGAACAAAAGTTCTCAATCTAATTTCTCGCTCGACACAGTAAGGAACAAATTGTTCCTATTTACTGGCATATCCACTGCTGTTCGGAACGCCTTGTTCCCTTTCGGTTCAAATTGTTCCTATTCATGCCCAACAGGAACGGAATTGTTCCTAATCGAGGTGGTTTTTTGTTCCTCAAGATGAGTGTTATGTTCCGCGTATAAATGGGAACAGGTTTCGAATTTGTGACAAAGGAACTGGCGTTCCATTTTGCGTAAAGTGTAAAAAAGGAATAGGGAACAATAGTTCCTATTTATCGTAGGCTATCTGAAACTACTGTCCATCACCTCCGCTATAAAAATTTATCAAAACATATTTCCTTCAACAATTAAGTTAAGTACGAGACTTGCCCGCTACATCTTTAATCTCGTTCGGGCTTGCCCTCGCAAGTTCAAGTTTGTGTCTTTGTTCCCTTTGATTAATTGTGTACCAGATACGGACAAGAAAACAACGGGGCAAGGGCAAGAATGACCAAGTGTGGGCAGAGATGGGCTAACAATTACCTCATTGGCGAATAGGATGATCTCTTGGGGACCCTTTTGCTAGTATAAGTACATGCATACTTTACAAAGATATTGATTTCAAGCTAATGCTTAAGATGAACAAACGAGGCAAGGATGTCAACTGGTCAAAGTTAGCAAATGCATCGCCTAAACCAAAGAGACTTCACTTAGAAGAGGATGACTGTGATGGTCTTTTCTCACTGCCCAGTGCAAATTTGTAACCACGAGGGATTCACTACGCAAAGAGGTTGTAGAAAACACGTAAAGAACAAACACAGTTGGTACTATTACTTCGACGAGAAGCCAGACAGTGCTCAAATCGATACGCTTAATGTCGATAAAACCAGCAAATGTGAAGCCAGTGATCAGAAGATTACACCGCGTAAAAGCAGGGCAATTGCCTCTTTTGATCCTATAAACAAAATTGCCAAGAACTTTTTTCGTGGCTCACTGGCACTGGTGGAGGCTGTAAAAGTGATCGACAAGCACAACAGATCGTTAGCAAGTGCTTAAAGTTTCTCAAATTTTGTTGCGAGGACGAAGAGGAGGTCACATTTGACATTGTGGACTTTAGTTTATGTTCACCTAATCTCCTTTTTAAGTTTGTTGATACGATGCAGGATGATTGGAACCTCGGACACGCCGGGCGCATAGGCTACTTGGATGCCATTGCAGAATTGGTGGATTATCGAAAAGTGAATGGAGTATCGGAATCGGTATTGAGGGGGCTGACTTCAACAGAAATGTACTTGAAAAAGGTGCGCAAAACCGTTTCCAAAATGATGCGGTTGCAGTGGACCAGTGAGCTCGACATCGATGCCTTAGAAGCCAAGGGGCACTGGGCCACACTAGAAGAACTGTTGGAAGTCGTGGGTCGCTACCTGCCTCGCTACGAGAACGTGCTGAAATCATGCAAAGAGAAATCGGGTGCTGTTTTGCCAATAGATTTATCTTTTGCTACCAAATTTGTGGCCGTCTGTTTATTTATCAAGGTCAAGGGCTCGCGCCCCATGACATATCAGTACTTAACATTGGAAATGGTGAGCAAAGCCAAGACTAACGGTGGATTTGTAGACCAGAAAATTTTCAAAACGGCTGGCAAATATGGCTTCGATTCTCTTTACCTGACTGAGACGAGCATGCAAGTTTTGGATGGCTACATCAACCACATTCGCCCCCTACTCATACCGACCTGCGACTTTGTATTGGTCACAAGAAGTGGAGGGCAGCACCAAAAACTGGAAGGGCTAATGAGTAAACTGGTCTTTGATGCAACGGGAAAGTACGTTCACCCGACTCGCTATAGACAGACAGTGGAGACCGCGAGTTCCATCTCCGAGGACCAGAAACATAGCTCTGTTGTTGCAAGGGTTCACTATCAGAAGCAGCGATCGCGCGAGGTGACAAGTAAAGCACATGAATATTTGGAAAGACTGCATGGAGACAAAGGGTCAGAGCTTGAAATAGACGTGCGCTCGAGGCTTTCAGGCGATTCTGCGTCTTCTGAAGATCGAAATGGTAGCAAAACTGATAGTTCCTCAAACGACGAGAGAGAAACGATCGCAGAAACACCACCCAAGCGTCTTTCAGGTGTCCCGAGACTAAAGCGGGAAAATGCGTTTATAGTGTCGCGTTTCCCGGCGAGAAAAAAGAGTCTGATGTTCACCCTGAAGAAGACAATTATCTTAACCCTATTCAGACTGGGGCGGGGGGGGCGCTTTTCGAACCCCCCCTCCGGCAAAATCGTGATAACTCCTACACCGAAAGAGCTATGACGTTCAAATTTTTCTGACTTTTCCTAAAATTTATCTAGGAACATTTTGGTATAATTACCATGTCCATGTGATTAATCATGTTGCCATGGCAACCAGTTTCTGACATTACATCAAAATGTTTCAAGATCGAATATTTGGGGGGGGGGG